TGGTGAACAGTGAACAACAACTTCAGCAGCAGCAACAGGAGAAGAATATTTCCTCGCCAAACAAAGCCAACTCACCGACAGCAAACGCCGACACTAACAACAACCGAATCAAAGAGAGCCACTCTTCCTCTTCTTCCTCCTCGCCGGCAAAGGTGACCAAGGTTGGTCGAACCTCTACCTCCTCTTCCTCCTCTTCCTGTGACTTTGAGTTTGTGGATATTTGTGAGCGTGCCACGGCCCGTCTTCTGGGTCACCACCACCACCACCACCACTCTCCCGGCGAGGCGCTCATCATTGACGACCGAACCAAGCAGGAGCTGATTGCCAACAACCTGCGAGCCATTGAAGAGGAGAAGCGAAACCGGAAGCTTCCCGTCCACCAGGGCATTTGCACCTCATCCTCGTCATCACCTTCTTCGGACGATAATTGCCCGTCTTCAGTAGCAACCATGCAGCCTAGCAGTAAAGGAACGAGGGGCTCGATTAGAGCCAAGAGAAGAGTTAACGGTGGTGGTAACACCACTTCTACAACATCTTCCTCGACGACTACAAATAACTCCTCAACTTCATCTTCGACCACTGAAGCCTCAACCTCTTCGCCTCTCGTGTCACAAGTGGTCAGTGGTAATGGCGTTGAGCCGTCATCTTTATCACCGGCCGTGGTAGCAGCAGGAGGAGGACCATCCTCTTCCTCCTCCAATGGAGTTCATCACCACCGACACCACAGCAGCCACGATCACCACCATCACTCTCACCACCATCACCACCACCACACTGCCTCCACTGCCTCCACTCATGGTCATGGACATCATCACAGCCACAGTCATGGTCCTGGTCACCATCACCACCACTCTCATCATTCGTCTCACCACTGCCATCACGCCTCATCCTCTGACAGTGATGAGGAGGTTCAGCAGCAACAGAATGGAAGCTCTCAGAAGGTGATCACTAACAACAATTCCACTGCCACCACAAAGAATGCTGCTGATCCACCGGCGATTGTTGAAGTAAACGAGGACATGGAGGACGTCGAAGAGGACACTTCAACCTGCGCTAGCGACTGCTCACTGCTGGACAACTCTTCCTCCTCATCCTCCTCTTCATCACCCTGTTCGTCACCCTCGGACACCAAACCAGCCACCACAGTTCAGCAGGTGAAACAGTTGGTGCCCTATGATCTGCGCAGAAAGGCTAGCTCCTCCGCCTCCTCTTCAACTTCTTCCTCATCCACTTCTTCTGCCTCTTTTACCGTTTTGTTGCCACCATCACAGTCAGCTGCTCTTCAGGCGGCTTCGGAAACGCCTCGTTCATCGGCGTCGCCTGAACCGGAGAGGTGCTCTTGCGTTCACGGCTGTCCGGTGGCGATGAAGGCGGCGAAGAGAGAGGCGGCGAGCTCCAGCAAGTCCGGGCCGAATCGCAAATCGCCCAAGCGAAGTCACAAGACTGAAGGGGACTTTGTCTTTGTCAACGCCAGTCAGCTCAAAGAAGGTATGTGCAAACTTGAACACTTTTGGAAATTTTTTAACTAACTTTCTTCTTCAGCCCTTGACGTGATCAGCGAACTGCCCGACGAGGTCCTCCTCACCATCTTCAGCTACCTCTACGAGACGGATCTGTGTCGGGTGGCGCAGGTCTGCGCTCGCTTCTTCAAGATCTCCAACGACTGCGAGCTGTGGCGATCGCTCTACGCCGATCTCTTTCAGTACGAGCAGCCGCTCTTCTACACCATCAGCGAGGCCGACCACCAGTACCGCTTCAAGTTTGTCCCCGTCGCAGAGTGTGAGACGGAGAATCCGTGGAAGGCGAGCTTCAAAGAGCTGGTAAGCAGTTGGATGTTCTTTGTAGAGGATTTGTTGTTCTGAAACTAACTTCTGATTCTTTTGTAGTACGGAGGCATTCACGTCCGACCAGGATGTCCTGAGCTGAACTCTGCGGTGAACGGCGGCCCAGTGCGAGTGAAGGGTCGTCGGCTGACCTTTACCTCCACCATTGAGCAGGCGCTGGCACTGGTCGATGCCAGTGCACAGCAGCAGGCGATGATATTGGGCGGAGGAGGAGGAGGAGGGAGCCAACTTTCGCTGGGTCCCAATCCTTTTGTCTTCATCCACGCGGGCACGTACAAGGAGCACCTGCTGGTGAACAACAATGCGGTGATGATTGGCGCCGGTAAGCGGTCTTTTTCGAAGTTTGGAACAACATAAAACTAATTCTCTCCCTCTTCCCTTCCCAGCGCCCGGCAACGTCGCAGAGAACGTGGTCTTTGAGCGCGAAGACGAGTCGACCATCACCTACCTGGCCGGGGCGAACCACGGCGCCCACCTCGCCTACGTCTCGCTGCGCTTCTCGCCCACCGACAATGGGTCGCTGCAGAATCACAACCACGGCGGGCCGAACAACGCCGGCCACCACAAGCACTACTGCCTGGAGGTGACGGAGGGCGCCTGTCCGGTGGTGGAGCACTGCGTCATCCGGAGCAGTTCGAACGTCGGCGCCGCCGTCTGCGTCACCGGGAAGGACGCCTGTCCGGTGGTGCGAAGTTGCCTCATCAGTGAGTGTGAAAACGTGGGCCTCTACGTCACCGACTTTGCGGAGGGCATCTACGAGGAGAATGAGATCTCGCGAAACGCCCTGGCCGGCGTGTGGGTGAAGAACAATGCCAACCCGATTATGCGCCGCAATCACATTCACCATGGCAGAGATGTGGGCGTCTTCACTTTTGATAACGGCAATGGGTACTTTGAGGCGAACAACATTCACACCAATCGAATTGCCGGCTTTGAGGTGAAGGCGGGCGCAAATCCGACGGTCACTCGCTGTGAGATTCATCATGGGCAGACGGGTGGCATCTACGTGCATGAAAGCGGGCGAGGGCAGTTTATTGAGAATCGCATTCATTCAAACAACTTTGCCGGCGTGTGGATCACCTCGCAGTCGAACCCCACCATACGGAAGAATGAGATCTACAATGGGCACCAGGGTGGGGTGTACATCTTCGGAGAGGGCCGTGGGCTGATTGAGCACAACAACATCTACGGGAATGCGCTGGCTGGTATTCAGATTCGGACGGCCAGCGACCCAATTGTCCGTTACAATAAGATTCACCACGGACAACATGGCGGCATTTACGTCCACGAGAAGGGCCTCGGACTGATTGAGGAGAATGAGGTGTACGCAAATACACTGGCCGGTGTGTGGATCACCACGGGCAGTACGCCGGTGTTGCGGCGAAATCGAATTCACAGCGGCAAGCAGGTGGGCGTGTACTTCTACGACAGCGGCCACGGACGGCTCGAGGAGAATGACATCTTCAACCACCTCTACTCGGGTGTGCAGATTCGCACCGGCTCCAATCCGACCATTCGGCGGAACAAGATCTGGGGCGGCCAGAATGGCGGCGTCCTCGTCTACAACGGCGGCCTCGGCGTCCTGGAGCAGAATGAGATCTTTGACAATGCAATGGCTGGCGTGTGGATCAAGACAGACTCGAATCCGACGCTGAAGCGCAATAAGATCTACGATGGCCGTGATGGAGGCGTGTGCATCTTTAATGGCGGCAAGGGAATTCTCGAAGATAATGACATCTTTCGAAATGCGCAGGCAGGCGTTTTGATCAGTACACAGTCGCATCCGCTGCTCCGCCGTAACCGCATCTTTGACGGGCACGCCGCCGGCGTGGAGATTACCAACAATGCCAGTGCAACGCTGGAGTACAATCAGATCTTCAACAACCGTTTTGGAGGGCTCTGTCTGGCCAGTCACGTCTACCCGACGGAGGTGGGCAATAAGATCTACGATAATCACAATGCGGTGGAGAAGGCGGTCAACAGTGGGCAGTGCCTCTACAAGATTAGCAGCTACACCAGCTTTCCGATGCACGACTTTTTTCGGTGAGTCTTTTGCTGTTTGGAAGTTTATTTTTGTAGACTAATGATTTTGTTTTTTGATTTAGATGTCGCACCTGCAACACCACCGATCGCAATGCCATCTGCGTCAACTGCATCAAGACCTGCCACAGTGGCCACGAGGTGGAGTTTATCCGCCATGACCGGTGAGTTTGAGGATGACAGTTTTTGAGGGTAATGACTAAATGACTAACTTTTGTCTTTTGTTTACCTTTAGTTTCTTCTGCGACTGTGGCGCCCGGACGCTGACCAACCAGTGTCAGCTGCAGGACGAGCCTACGCAGGACACTGACACACTGTACGACTCGGCGCCACCGATGGAGTCGCACACTCTCATGGTCAACTGAATGATCTCAACACANACAGTGGCCACGAGGTGGAGTTTATCCGCCATGACCGGTGAGTTTGAGGATGACAGTTTTTGAGGGTAATGACTAAATGACTAACTTTTGTCTTTTGTTTACCTTTAGTTTCTTCTGCGACTGTGGCGCCCGGACGCTGACCAACCAGTGTCAGCTGCAGGACGAGCCTNACAGTGGCCACGAGGTGGAGTTTATCCGCCATGACCGGTGAGTTTGAGGAGGACAGTTTTTGAGGGTAATGACTAAATGACTAACCTTTGTCTTTTTGTTTACCTTTAGATTCTTCTGCGACTGTGGTGCCCGGACGCTGACCAACCAGTGTCAGCTGCAGGACGAGCCTACGCAGGACACTGACACACTGTACGACTCGGCGCCACCGATGGAGTCGCACACTCTCATGGTCAACTGAATGATCTCAACACACTTCACTCTTTCAATTGTTTTCTTCAGTTTTTGCCAACTTCCACTTTCAATTTCGCCAATCATTTTCACACTTTGAGTGTTTTTCTTTCACTCCTTTATTTTTGTACTTCTCCATTAAGTTCTCTCNTGTACGACTCGGCGCCACCGATGGAGTCGCACACTCTCATGGTCAACTGAATGATCTCAACACACTTCACTCTTTCAATTGTTTTCTTCAGTTTTTGCCAACTTCCACTTTCAGTTTCGCCAATCATTTTCATACTTTGAGTGTTTGTTTTTCTCTCATTCACTCGTTTATTTTTGTACTTCTCCATCAAGTTCTCCTNCTTTGAGTGTTTTTCTTTCACTCCTTTATTTTTGTACTTCTCCATTAAGTTCTCTCCTCGGTGCGTTTGCTTTCTACACAACCACATCATCCTCTTTATTACCCCCTTTAATCCTAGTTGTTTAGTGTTACCTTATACTTCTTTAGTGTAATTATTATCCTTAACCTGTTCACACACTGTTGGTCATAGTTGTTTCACTACTTCTCACTACTTGTTCTTTTTACTCATAGCTGCCATCATCATTACCATCATTTGTACACACTCTTCTAGGTCTTTTCTATCAATTTTCGTGAATATCGATATTCTCTCTAGGCACAATTTTAACCAATTGCTGGATCATAATATCTCCACCTCATTCTTAGGGTTACCTTCAATACTTCTATACCATTTGTACTCACCACTTTCGACGACTCGTCTTTCTTCTGCACAAACCACCACCACCACAACCCACACAATCCCTTTTCATCCCTATTTTTTCTCTTTCTTGCCTTATTTTCATCGCCTTTTGCGTAATACACACTTTATACAACACAGCACGCTTATTTTTTGATTACTATTTTTTCTTTATTAAAAATCAACTTCAACTAAGAAAGCCTACTAAGAAAAATGGCTGAAGTAAGTAGGAAGCTTTTTACAGCTTTTCAGTAGACTGTTTACCAGCCTTGCCAGCGGCATCAACTGGACTAGCTGGACGTTTCGGCTCCTCGCCAAAGACCACCAGAGCAATGGCTATAAAAAGGACCATCATTGNATTGCCTTATTTTCATCGCCTTTTGCGTAATACACACTTTATACAACACAGCACGCTTATTTTTTGATTACTATTTTTTTCTTTATTAAAAAATCAACTTCAACTAAGAAAGCCTACTAAGAAAAATGGCTGAAGTAAGTAGGAAGCTTTTTACAGCTTTTCAGTAGACTGTTTACCAGCCTTGCCAGCGGCATCAACTGGACTAGCTGGACGTTTCGGCTCCTCGCCAAAGACCACCAGAGCAATGGCTATAAAAAGGACCATCATTGCAAGAGTGGACACGGCGATGATAATGTACAGCTTGGTTGGGCCGGGCACCGCAGTGGTCGATTTAGGTGAGGGGTGACTGAAGCTGTTAGCTTTAGTGGAAGTTTTGGCTGAAGTAGGCTTCAGTGAACTAGAGTTGCTGGTGGGAGTTTCAGAGGTGATGGAGGTTGAAGTTGAAGTGGTGGTAGAGGTGGTAGAGTTAGCAAGGGTGGAACAAGCGAACGAGGTGATGATGAAAAGCACCAGAAAAAAACAAAAGTTTTTCATGATCTTTAACCAAAGTAGAAGTAAATGAAAATAAACAAAACCAGTTGAATTGGTTGGCAAAATTCGAAAGTAGACGAGTCAATCTTTGCTTTTTTACTGTTTCGGTGACAAAGTGAACAGCATTTTATAATGTGAACAACAAAATTGACAACAAAGAAGAGGGCAGAAATTGTTCTAAATTGAATTTCCATTTTAGAAATTGCTTCTCCTTTTCTAGCCGAGAACACCTCCACCGACAGCTTTGCCGCCGCCAGCCTTGAAAGCGGCTCCTGAAGCTCCCGACTTGGCAAAACCAGCCTTGGCGCCGGCGGTGCCTGAAAATAAAAGAAGTCAAATTAGAGTTCGATTTAATTAGAAATCAAACCTACCAAACTTTCCACCCTTCGCTGCTCCAGCGGCGCCGTAACCGGCAGCCTTTCCTGCGGCGGCCTTCTTGAATCCGGCAGCTCCACCGGCCTTGCCGAAAGCGGCCTTCTTTCCGGCGGCACCAGCTAAAGAAAAAATAGGGTGTTTTCGGTTAGAAAAGATTGGCATTCTAATTTAACCTATCACTTACCAGCACCACCAGCAGCGTAAGCGCCACCAGCCTTGCCGAACTTGAAACCCTGCGCCGCACCGAAGGTCTTCACTGCGCCAAACTTCTTGTTGAATCCTGCGGCGCCCATCTTTCCGAACTTGCCCGACTTGAAGCCCTTCTTGTAGGCACCACCGGCGGCAGCAGCTCCCGCTGTCTTTCCGCCCTTCTTGAAACCAGCTAAAACAGATCGATTTTAATAAAGATTTTCAAGCATTTCAGTTTTCACTTACCAGCTCCCCCAGCGGCACCGGCAGCGAAACCGCCCGCCTTTCCACCAGCAGCTCCAGCGGTACCTGATTATTTTCATTATTTTTAAAATCAATTTCTAATCAATCTCATAATTCAAAAACTCATTACCAAAAGCTCCACCCTTGGCAGCCGCTCCAGCGGCGCCTCCCTTGGCAAACTTGGCTCCAGCTAAAAATGTAAAATTATGAAATGTTGGTATTATTAAATGAAAACTGAACTCCTTACCAGCTCCAGCAGTGGCCGCTCCTGCGCCCACAACCGCCGACTCTGCGTAAACCAGGTCATTTTCAGAGGGAGCAGTGTCACAGTCCGCCTCCTCGTGGCCCTCGTCATCATATCCTTCTCCTCCTCCATGCGAACCGTTGTCCTCCATTTCCATCTCGGCCATGACGAGACAGGCGGCGAAGCCGAGGATGAGCTGGAGAAGGATGGAAGAAAAGATTATCAGGTTTTCACGCTGAAAGAAAGTCGAACAAATCACTCGTACCAAAGTGTGGAGAAACTTCATTTTTTCTTTGTTGGTTTGTGGTGCTGAGGTCGACTTGTCAGTTTGTTTGTTTTTCTGTCTGTCTGTTTGTCTTTCTCCTCAATGGCCAACTTCTTTTTATACTGCCCAACCATTTTAGCACAACTTCTGCTGCACGTGCAATCGGAAGTCACACGTTTCACCGTTGTTTTGCTGTCGCTTGTTGCTGCTAATTACGCATTCACCCACTCTGACCACTCATTTCGCCGCCGGCGTTGCTCTAAATTGGCCTTGCACTTGAAACGATAACAACAACGGTAGGACACCTTTTTTCTTCTAGAAAAACTCCCTTTTCCCTCTCTTTCTCCTGCGGAAGTGTGACTGTACAGGAGAGTCAGTCAGTCGTTTGGTTGTACACTTGGACACCTGTTCAAAGTCCGTTGCTGTACCAGTGCTCGTTAGCCTCCGAAGTAGCAGCGAAATCAGTGGGGAGATAATGAATGAACCACCACCAGCAACTTCTGTCGTAATCCGCTTATCAACTCCTGCCGTCCTATTGTTTTTTATGTCTGTTCTCCCTGCTCTGCTCTGCTCTCTTTTTCGTTCCCACTGGCCAATTAGACAGCAGCGTTCTCATTAACGTAGGCAAAGCCGCTTAGCTGCTTCCACACAGCAGCCCTGCAAAACTTGACGTCGTAATTAAATTGGCGGGCGAATATGCTTGCTTCCCCCCCCCCTCTTCTTTGTCAATGAAGAACTTTTGGTCGAACTGGTTAGTTGGCTCTGTCTCTCTTTCCAGTGGCAGTAACTTGAGCAGCGAAATCAGACTGAATCATCAGATTACCTGGCACTATTAAAACCCCTCTTCTCTGCCTCTTCTCTCGGCTTGATTTGTCCACTGATTTGCCACTGAACCTGACTGAATTGTCATTGCTTCCCTCGGAAAAAATGAAGAGGAGATAAGAATGTAAATTCGCAGATGGAAAGGTGGATAAAATGTAGGAAAAAGCGAGGAATTTAGTCCCCAAAGCGCCACCTTTAACTTTGGCAAAATGCACTGGAAACGAACAAAAAAAGTCGGCGACTTTATTTTCTTTCTTTCCTTTTTTGCCTAGCAAGCGAGAATCGCATCACCGCTTTCACTGACACTTCACTCGATCATTGGCCGTGTCTGTCTCTGTGTGCGAGGGGTCATCAACTTCACTCTCTCACTTTCGGTGTGAGTATGTGTGAGTGTGTTCGACTGCGTTTGACCTGTCTGCCTCACTCGGTTTTCCATTTA